CCTGCTGAAGTAATCTAATATTTTTAATGTGGGGAGAGGGTCGAGTCTTATTAACTCACTGGCAGATGGCCTGGCAGTTCATTACTTTCAGCTTATTTCTACTCTGAAAGATATAAGTACCTCAGGAAAAGCCACATTTTTAACATTTATTAAAACTGTTTAGAGAAATTTGTTAATGAAGCATCTTTTAAAAAAATTACTATTTTTAGAATTGTTTGTACTATCTTTGCACCTTTTTTGTAAACATAAAAGTTCCTGTATGCTTCTCACCCAGTTTCTCCTATTATTAACACAAAGGATCTGTTTTTTAATCTAATTTTGCATAATGTACCAAAAGTTTACACTTTGAGTTATTTTGCTCGAAAGAAATTCCCAGATTTTACATTATGCTAACTGATTCAGGTTTTAGAAGTGTAAATGTTAATTATTGATTTATATATCAGAAAGACATTTATTAGAAACATGAAATTCAGTGACTTAAAACTATTTGCTAAGATGTTGTATACATCATGGTCAGAAAGTTACATATGCTTGACATAATCGCATGTTGATTAATCACTTTTGTCTTTTTTTACTCCATAGATGTAAAGAACCTGTATCCATCATCATCTCATTATACAAGAAATTGGGATAAATTAGTTGGTGAGATCAAAGAAGAAGAAAAGAATGAGAAGTTGGAGGGAGATGCAGCTTTAAACAAATTATTTCAGCAGATCTATTCAGATGGTTCTGATGAAGTGAAACGTGCCATGAACAAATCATTTGTAAGAACATAAACTTTAAGAAAATCTATTGTAGTAGTAAATTTCACAAATTAAAAAAAAATAAGTATGTAATTTGAGATCAGATTGCATGTACTGTAGTTGGGAGACCATTTTGAATGGACTTTGTCTGAACATTTGTTCTTGCTCTAAACTTAGAGTAATTATTGAGGAAGTTGGGAACTTGTGGAGGAGGTGAGAAACAAATGGTATATTCCAAATAAATTTTTTCATCAGGGAGTTAGAACTTGGAAGTCTTAAGAAATACCAAGATTATAGTTAGTGGATGATACAGAGTTATTCCAGTTGGATTTATCACAATAGCTGAGTGAGCTTCTGGTGTTTACCTTCTGTTATCATGTATAATCTCAGTGTCAGATGAAAAATATAGAAGGGAAACTTCCAGAACAGTGTTTGCCAAGTAGAAGGTGCACATTAATTATTCTTTGGTTTGTTAGTAATTTCTGTATTGATTAAGAAAATTCAGGCTTTTTGCCAGGGCATGAATGCCACCTGAATTAGGCCTCAAGTTCTGAGATTTTAATGACTAGTCATCACTGTAGAACCATGTAGATTTTGCTTGAAGCTGTAATCATTTGACTTTTACCCGTAGCTCTGGAAATGTCACTGTCTTCTTTAAAGGTGTTGATATTTACAATAGAAAGTTAAAGTTAATATTTAATAATTAAAATTAATATATAGGTAATAAGTGTGTTTGTGGCTCAGATATTCCATGTAAGTTACCAAGTGGTAACTGATCATGATTATGCTTTTCACTATTGCCTTAAAAAAATTGTTTTTAATTAAACTTTTTATTTTGAGATAATTGTAGACTCACATGCAGTTGGAAGAAGGAAGAGATCCCTTATATCCTTTACAGTTTTCCCCAGTAGAAGCGTCTTGCAGAATTATAATATTACAACCATGATACTGACAGTTAAGATAGAGAACATTTCTTTTTTATTTATTTGTTTATTTATTTATTTTGGCTGCATTGGGTCTTCGTTGCTGTGCGTGGGTTTTCTCTAGTTGCGGCTAGCGGGGGCTACTCGTCGTTGAGGTGCACAGGCTTCTCATTGCAGTGGCTTCTCTTGTTGTGGAGCATGGGCGCTAGGTGCGTGGGCTTCAGTAGTTGTGTGTTTTACTAGTTATACCTAAGTATTTGGTTCTTTTTTTTGAGTGATTATAAATGGTATTATATGTTTAATTTTGGCATCCATGTGTTTGTTGTTAGTATCTAGAAATACAGGGGTTTTTTTGTTTTGTTTTTAATGTTTATCTTGTATTTAACTTGTATTTACCTTGTTGAACTTGCTTACTGGTTCTAGGAGATTTTTTTTGGTAGATTCCTTATAATTCCTTGTGATTTTCTATGTAGACAATCGTATCTTCAAATAGGGACAATTTAATCTCTTGCAATTCCTATACACTAACAACAAAAGATCAGAAAGAGAAATTACAGAAACAATTCCATTTACCATTGCAACAAAAAGAATAAAATACCTAGGAATAAACCTACCTAAGGAGGTATTTCAAATAGGGACAGTTTAATTTCTTCCTTTCCAATATGTGTACCCTTTATTTCCTTTTATTGGCTAGAACTTCCAGCACTATGTTGAATAAGATTGGTGAGAGTAGACACTGATGCCTTGTTCTCCATCTTAAGAGAAAAACCATTCAGTCTTTCACCATTAAGTATAATGTTAGCTGTAGGTTTTTGTAGATGCTTATCAAGTTAAGAAAGTTTTGCTCTATTTCTTTTTTTCTGAGATTTTTATCATGAATGGCTGTTGACTTGTCAAATACTTTTTCTGCAATATTTCTGCATGTGATCAGTATGATTTGGTGATTTTTTTCTTTAATTTGTCAAAGTGGTGATTTTATATGATTAATATGATTGATTTCTGCTGTTGTACTGTTGAACCAGCTTTGCATCCCTGGGATAAACCCCAGTTGGTCATAGTGTATAATTCTTTTTATATGTTACTCAATTCTGTTTTTAAATACTTTAAGCATTTTTGTGTCTATATTTATGAGGCATGTTGGTCTACAGTATTCTTTTTTGGTGCTTTTCCTGGTTTTGGTATCAGGGTAATACGTCCTAGAATGGATTGGGAAGTGCTCCATCCTCTTCTTTTTTGCGGGGAGGGTATTTGTAGAATTAGTGTTGTCTTTAAAGATTATTTAAACCAATGAAGCCATCTAGGCCTTGATACTTCTTTTTTTGGGAGATTTTAAATTATGAATTTCGTTATCCTAATAGCTTATAGGACTCTTCAGGTTGTCTGTTTCATATTGAGGGACTTGGAACTGCAGGGTCTTTTGATGACTGCAGGACCTGTAGTGATAACCCATTTCATTCCTATAATGGTAATTTGTGTCTTTTTTTTTTTCCTTTGTCTTGCTAGGGTTTGTCAATTTTATTGACTTTTTTCCCCCGAAAGAATCAGCTTTTTGTTGATCTTAAATTTTTCCTCCTATTTTTTTTTGTTCTAAATTTCATTTATTTCTGCTTTTAATTATTTTCTTCCTTATGCTTGCTTTGGGTTTGTTTTGTTATTCTTTTTTTAATAGGTCCTGTGGATATGAGCTTAGATTATTGATTTGACCCTTTTTCTTTTTTCTGTTATATGTGTTTATGCTATAAATTTCCCTCTCAGAAGAATTTAGCTGTCTCCCACAAATTTTGATGTTACTTTTTCATTTTTATTCAGTTCAGTATATATTTTGATTTCACTTGAGACTTCTTATCCTAAGTATATATTCCACTTGAAAAGCATGTATATTCTGCTCTTGTTGAATGGAGTGTTCTATAAACGTCACTTAGATCCTGTTGATTGATACTCTTGTTGATTTTCTGTCTTACTGTTCTACTGATTGAGAGAGGGTCTTCAGCTATAATTGTGGATTTATTGATTTCACCTTTAAGTTCTGTCAATTTTTGCTTCACATATTTTGCAGCTCTGTTGTTTGGTTCATATGCATTTAGGATTGCTATATTTTCATGGTGGATTGACCTTTTTATCATTATATAATGTCATTCTCTAGCTCTGGTAATTTTCTTTGCTTTGATGTTAATATAGCTGATTCTTATGTCCTTTGGTTAATTTTTGCATGATATATCTTGTTCCATCCTTTTGCTTTCAACCTGCCTAAGTCATTTTTTAAAAAAATTTTAATTTTATTTTAAAAATTTTATTGGAGTATAGTTGATTTACAGTGTTGTGTTAGTTTCAGGTGTACAGCAAAGTGATTCACATATATATTCATTCTTTTTCAGATTTCTAAGTCATATTTAAAGTGAATTTCTTTTAGACAGCATGTTGGGTCATGTTTTTTTTAATTTATTCTGCCAATCTCTTTTAATTGATGCATTTGGACCATTTAACTTTTAATGTAATTATTGGTACATTAGGACTTACTTATGTCTACCATGTAAGTTTTCTGTTTGTTCTGTATTTGTTTTTCCTGCCTTCCTATGGGTACTTGAACAGTTTTTAGAATTTCATCTTGATTTATCTATAGTGTTTTGTAGCGTATCTTTGGTTGCTCTAGATTTTATATTAGCTATATTATACTTAGTTTATCATAGTCTACTGGTGTTATTTTTTTTGACACTGAATGACGTATAGAAACCTTACCTCCCTTAATGTCCTTTTACTTTTTCTCATTTATAATTTTCTTAAATATTTCTTCTGTATATGTTTAGAAACCACATCATACAGTGTAATAATTTAGAAAACGTAGAGGAAAAGCAAACTCTGTTGCATTTATCTATATTGTGACCTTTTTCTTTCTTCCTTTCTGACTTTCAGGTTTCCATTTTTTGTTACTTTTTTTTTTTCTTTTTAAACTCCTCAACACATTGTCTCCTCTCATTTTTTAAAAAAATATTTATTTATTCATTTTATTTTTGGCTGCATCAGGTCTTAGTTGCAGCATGTGGGATCCTCCGCTGTGGCTTTTGAGCTCCTCATTGCGGCACTTTCTCATTGTGGGCTTCTCTCTAGTTGTGGTGCTCAGGCTCAGTAGTTGTGGTGCATGGGCTCTGTAGTTGAGGCACGCTGGTTCTCTAGTTGTGCCCCACATGCTCAGTAGTTGCGGCACACAGGCTTAGTTCCCTGACCAGGGATTGAACCCGTGTTCCCTGCACTGGAAGGCGGATTCTTAACCACTGGACCACCAGGGAAGTCCCTCCTTCTGTTTGGAGAACTTCCTTTGGGCATTCTTTCAGAGTAGATCTGTCCATAACAGATTCTTTCTATTGACAAGGATTTCTTTGGGTTTATACTGGTTGGGATTTGCTCAGTTTCTTGTATCTGTAGGTTTATGTCTTTTGCCAAATTTGGGATCTTTTCATTCATTATATCATTGAGTACTTTTTCAGACCTTCCTTCTTTGTTTTCTTCTTCCTGGAACCCAATGACACAGGTATTGGATATTTTGTTAGGGTACTATACATTCCTGAGAACTGTTCATTTTATCTCTTTTTGTCTCTGTCATTCAGATTGGGTGATTTATATTGTTCTGTTTTCCAGTTCACTGATTCTTTGCTCTGTTCTCTCTATTCTGCTCTTGAGCCCGTTCACTGATGTTTTTATTTCAAGTGTATTTTTCAATTATAAAACTTTCATTTGGTTCTTCTTTATGTCTTCTGTTTCTTTACTGAGGTTTTCTATTTTTTTCATTTGTTTCAAGCTAGTTCATAATTCTTGTTGAAGCATTTTTACCCTGACTGCTTTAAAAATGTGTCAGATAATTTTAACATCTCTTTCATCTCTGTGTTAGCATCTGTTGATTGTCTTCTCTTTTTAAACATATAATCTGAAATCTTCCTGGTTCTTGGTGTTTTTCACCAGTGCCAAGTGATATTCAGTTGAAATCTGGACATTTTCATGTTACAAGACTCTGGATCTTATTTAAACCTTCTGTCTTAGATGGCTTTCTCTGACAACCACTCTGGCAAAGGAAGGGAAGTCACTACCTCACTATTGCCAGGTGGAAGTAGAAATCCAGGTACCCCACTCTACCTCTGTTGACACCCCAGGGCATCTCCTTGTTACTGCTGGGAATAGGTAGGAGTTCTAGCTCCCCATGTGGTTTCCACTGACATCATAGGCAACAGAGGAGGCCGGTTTGTGATAGCATAGCATGGGTGGAAGTTTAGGTTCTTCATTCAGCCTTCACTGGCCTGGGTGGGGATGGGACCACAGTTTTTTACTGTGGTGTTTAGCTAGAGTGATTATTATCTAAAAGTTTTCTCTCTTTCTGTTTGTCCATTGGCTAGAGAAATATGGCTTTTGTTGGGGCTTTTTTTGTTTGCACCCTTTGGCATTTCCAGCCTCTTCAGTTCCAGCTCTTGGAAAACATAAGGCAAAAAGAAAACCCAAAGAACTCACCACCGTGTTGTTCCTTGGGTCCCAAGGTCCCTAGCTGATTTGTCTTCTTTTCACCTTTTAGAGTTGTCTTACATTTGTTATTTATATAACATACAAGGTTTTTAGTTGTACTTAGTGGGAAGACTAGGAAAGAGTACACTCACTTAATGCCTCCAAAAGGAGAAATCAGGGTTTTGTTAGTTTGTTTTGCCATGCTGTGCAGCTTGCAGGCTCTTAGTTCCGCCACCAGGGATTGAATGTGTGCCCCCTGCAGTGGATACGTGGAGTCCTAACCACTGGACCGCCAGGGAATTCCCTGAAATCAGTTTCAGTGTTGACTTTTAAGAACTTACTGGACAAAATAGTGTGTGAGATTTCAAAGTTATATTATAGAATCTGTGTCCATTTTCATAACAGAAACTTTGCTAAGTGTAACTGAACCATACGTATGCATAAAATAAGCCATCTGTTTGGCAGCATTGACCTGGAACATACCAAGGGCTTGCTTCTGTCTTTGTGGGGGAATACAGGCATACCTTGGAGAACTGTGGGTTCAGTTCTAGACCACCATCATAAAGCAAATTTTGCAATAAAGTGAGTCACACTTTTTTGGTTTCTCAGTACATATGAAAGTTATGTTTACACTATGCTGTAGTCTACTGAGTGTGTAATAACATTATGTCTAAAAAATAATGCATGTACCTTAATTTAGAAATTCTTTATTGCTAAAATATGCTAACTTTATCATCTCAGTCTTCAGCAAGTCATAGTTTTTTGCAGTAGTAACATCAAAGATCACTGATCACACATCCCCATAACAAAGATAATAACAGTGAAAAAGTTTGAAATATAAGAGAGTTATCAAAATGTGACAGACATGAAGTGAGCACATGCTGTTGGAAGAATGACGTCAATAGATTCACTTTATGCAGGGTTGCCACAAATCTTCAGTTTGTAAAAAATGCAGTATCTGCAAAGTGCAGCAAAGTGAAGCACAATAAAATGAGGTCTGCCTGTACAAAGAAACAGACTGTCTTATCTCTGATCTCTGTCTAATTGGGCAAAAAGATCAACATATACAGAATAATCAGGGAAGTGCTCAGTTGCACTGCAGTCCATAAGAAGAAAGGGGAAAATAGATGTCATCAGCAAATATGATCAGATTATAAATTAAATTTGCTTCCTTTAGTTCTCTTAGGAGTAGTTATTATATAAACTTGTCCCATTTTATTCAGTATTTTATTTGCAGCCTACTGTGTGCCAGGCTACTGCACTTAGATCTAGGATATAAGTATTGGTAAAATACGTTTCTTTCCTTTTAGAAACTCTCAGCTTCAGTTTGGAGCCACGGGTGGGAAGCAGGTATGAGAAGGCAGATTCATAAAATTTTATCAGTGCAGTGTCATAGACAAGTCCTACAAGAGTAGCTAGAGTCCTGACTAGGGTCAAAGAAGGCCACAGAGAGGTGGTGACATGTCATGTTTGGAGGATAACTAAAGACATAAAAAGAACCAGGACAGAGGAGAGCATCCCGTGCAAAGGAACCCATGGAAAGGAGCTTGGTAGAGAGTGTGGGGCATTGGGATTATTTTGAGGCTCCAGTGTAATGGTAGCATATGTAACTTTATACATTCACCAGTAACATAGCTGATTATTTTCAAATGTTTAGATTTTAACAATTTTCTGTTCTTTGCTGTGATCCAAATCAATGAATTTTTATTGCATTAACAGTTACAGCTTTATTTTTTAAATGTATTTATTAGGGTTGTTGGTAGGTGTTATATTCAGTGGGTAGTAAATAGATGACCAGTGCTTTACTGAGACACTAACTTTATGTGTCTGTGTGTGTATGTACCTTGATTTAAAAATAATTCCAGCATACACTTGTGTATATTTGACATAGAGAGAACATTAAGAAGGGGCTCTTAAAGTTCTCTCCAACTAGAAAGAGTTTACTTTGCAAAGTCTTTACTGTGCTCAGCAAAAGAGATTACATTATCGTTTTCTTTGGGAGCCAGTTTCATTGGGTTGGCCAAAAAGTTCCTTCGGTTTCCCCAGTAAGATGGCTCTAGTAGTGCTTAGTTGTCTTTAGCTTCATTTGAAACAATTTTGTTAGATCGTATTGTGACAGCTGTCATATCAGGGTGCATTTTTTAAAAACTTATCAAAATTAGTGAATTTTTGTGTAGCCATTTTAATATTGAAGATGGAAGGAAAAAAGCAACATTTTCTGCATATTATGCTTTATTATTTCAAGAAAGGTAAAAACGCAACCGAAACGCAAAAACAGATTTGTGCAGTGTATGGAGAAGGTGCTGTGACTGATCAAAAGTGGTTTGTGAAGTTTCGTACTGGAGATTTCTCACTGGACGATGCTCCATGGTTGGGTAGACCAGCTGAAGTTGATAGCGGTCAAATCGAGACATTAATTGAGAACAATCAATGTTATACCATGCGGGAGATAGCTGACATACCCAAAATATCTAAATCAAGCGTTGAAAATCATTTGCACCAGCTTGGTTATGTTAATCGCTTTGATGTTTGGGTTCCACATAAGTTAAGAGAAAAAAACCTTCTTGACTGTATTTGCGCATGTGATTCTCTACTTAAACGTAATGAAAACGTTCCGTTTTTAAAACAAATTGTGATGGGCAATGAAAAGTGGATGCTGTACAATATTGTGGAACAATATTTCGCTTGTGGGGCAAGGGAAATGAACCACCACCAACCACACCAAAGGCCAGTCTTCATCCAGAGAAGGTGATGTTGTGTATATGGTGAGATTGGAAGGGAGTCCTCTATTATGAGCTACTTTTGGAAAAGCAAACAATTAATTGCAACAAGTACTGCTCCCAGTTAGACGAACTGAAAGCAGCACTTACTGAAAAGCGTTCAGAATTAGTCAACAGAAAATGCATAATCTTCCATCAGGGTAACACGAGACCACATGTTTCTTTGATGACCAGGCAAAAACTGTTACAACTTGGCTGAGAAGTTCTCATTCATCCACTGTATTCACCAGATTATTGTACCTTTGGATTTCCATGTATTTCGGTCTTTGCAAAATTCTCTTAATGGAAAAATTTCAGTTCCCTGGAAGACTGCAAAAGGCACCTGGAACAGTTCTTTGCTCAAAAAGATAAGTTTTGGGAAGATGGAATTATGAGGTTGCCTGAAAAATGGCAGAAGGTAGGGGAACAAAATGGTGAATACATTGTTCAATAAAGTTCTTGGTGAAAATGAAAAATGTGTCTTTTATTTTTACTTTAAAACTGAAGGAACTTTTTGGCCAACCCAGTATTTTCATCTGAAGGTAGTTTTTCCACATATACCTCTATGCTGATTAGCAGGGAGACATGTGCTTTATATGGCAGTGTGTGTGGACATGGTCCTCCTACCTAACTAGAGTTTCCTTTTCAGATTTTTACACGATATGGTAACTTATCTGGAAAGCCTAAGGTTAAACCAGAATATTGTCTTGTGTATATTGAGCCAAACATAGCTTACATTTGGGACTCTGTGCTTGAAATGTTTTTAGAAAAATATTCTGTTTTGATTATATGGGCCAATAATTAATCTATTTTTATTTTTTATTGCAGATGGAGTCTGGTGGTACAGTTTTGAGTACCAACTGGTCTGATGTAGGTAAAAGGAAAGTTGAAATCAATCCTCCTGATGATATGGAATGGAAAAAGTACTAAATAAATTAATTTGCTATCACTGTATTGCATATATTCAGCTAATGCCCATTGTGTATTAATACTGCATTCTTGAATTTTGAACACTGAGTACATCTTTTTAAAGAATTATACCTCTTTACCTCTTTGTGCTTTAGAAATTATTTTCCTTCAAGTATTCTAAGAGTCTAATGAAGAACGAAGATCATGTTTTATCACTTTTGTCCTTAAGGACTTCAAATATGCTGAAACGGAATGAAGTATCATTTGCTACTAGACAGATTAATTCTTCCGAGTTGTGGGAGTGGAGATACTGTTACTGGGATATCTTGGGTTATTGCCTTATTTTTGATGCAGTATTCTGTTAATAATTTATTAGACGTGGCAACTTTGGGTGAGCATAGATTTCTCAATTTCAATGTTAAATTGTTTGCTTTTAAAAACTGCTTTTGAATGGAGTTGTAAATACAATTTTTCTATGAAGAAGTTTGGTTTATTTACCTTTTTCTTAAGTTTTTAATGAAAACTTTGAGAAATTATTTATCACAGGGGATTCCCATTTGATTATTTTTATGGGAAGTATTTGTAATTGCACTGAGAATTTTGGTCCTTACCCTTCAAATTCCTGTATAAAACATTGACACCTGAGTTTATCATGCTGCAAATTTAACTGTACTGAAGGCTAATCTGTGAAGCGGGGTCAAACAGTAATTTAGGAGAGCCCAACTCCACTTCTTGCTGCTTTTGCCACAGCAGGATTCCTGAAATTACAAGACTGGTGGTTTGGTTTGGTTTTTTTTCTTCTTTTTTTCTTTATTAGAAAATCTCTCTTCTTATATCCCCATGATTACTACACTTTTGGTGGTTTAGGGCAGCTACTGAGAGAGTAATATGTATACATTTAGTATGTATTCTGTTTATAGAATAAATAGATACCATGGGAATACAAAAACTAAAAGACATGATCGTTGGCTTCAAAGTCTTTATAATCTAGCAGAGAGAAAATTAACATTCAGGAAGGAATTATGAATGGTTGAATGGTGAACTTATTACAAATACAGTTTTGAGACAGAAAAAATTTCTATCTGTGATTAAATGTTCTGTGATTAAAACTATTGGCAGTCTAAGCTGTTATAAAGCAAAGGCCATGGATGACCTGTAGGTGTGATTCCTTTTCTTACTGTAATTTCGGAACCATAGAGGGTGGTGTCTGTTAGGTCTCAGTAACATTTTGTGGCAAGGAAGTACTCTATACCCTCATAGCTGAGGATAGGGTAAATGGGGGGCAAATTAGCCGCCATCGCCAAAAAGAGTGGGAATTCAGCCTCTTCCTCCTAGTCATTTGACATGTGTAGGGGAGTCCATAAGGAAAAAGTGGTGGGGTGATACCAGACCATGCCCAGACTTGCTGTTGCTGCTTGTTTATGCATATAGGGGTTTTCACTTGTCCTTCTGCCCACTTAGAGTTACAGGCTACTTTTTTTGATCTTGAACACTGAAGGAAAAGGCAAAATTAAGTTCTTGCATGTATGAATTTCTAAAATTTTCTCCTTAGGAAACAAGATAGTGATTATGTTAAGTTTTCTCAGTACCATTAGTCCCCAGGGGTAGGGAGGCTCTTCTACAGAGATGGTAAGTCAGGGGCATACACCAGAGATGAGACTCCTGGCTCTAGCAAGTCTCTGCCACCCACTAGCTTTAAAATCTTTAACAGGTTTACAGCCTTCCTATGTTTTATTAGTTCCTTTATCTGCAAATCCGTAGGGTCTTAAAGTTTAATTAAAAGTCCATGATTCTAAATAAGGAAGCATTTTTTGCCTCTTAAAAGCAACTTTTTTCTTTCTTAGGAATGACACTATTATAATAGAAGTTAGGTTTTTTTAAAAGGTTCTAGTACTAGTTTTGCTTTTATTTTAAAGGATACACTGTCTAAAGTGTGTTTATCTGTTGGCTAGATTTGCTTAAGGATGTCTGATTCAGGATTTTGCTGAGCCAAATGGAGTTCCTAATATACATGACTATGTTATATTACAATGTTACCTTGTCTAAATACAATAGGTTTATGGGTAAAGAAGGGAATTTTGAGAAGTAGGTTAGACTGCTTGCCCTAAAGGACCACTCTAAAGTACTGCTTCTCTTTCACCATTCTAGGCAATGAAAAATTGTAAGAGTCCAGAAAGTTAAAAAACTTCATTTTGAGCCTTTATCTTTATTCTCTGCTCTCTCAGCTTGGCTATTAATTGGTCCCACTTTCTTTCTAGACTCCCATTTCCTTCCTCCCTCCTTCCCTCCCTCCTTCCCTCCTTCCCTCCCTCCTTCCCCTCTTCCCCCCTTCCCCCCTTCCTCCCTTCCCCCCTTCTCCCACATGGCTTTCAGGATCTCAGTTCCCCCACCAGGGATTGAACCTGGGTCATGGCAGTGAAAGCCCAGAATCCTAACCACTAGGCTACCAGGGAACTCCCTAGACTCCCATTTTCAGTTCTCAAATCTTGGTTCTCTTTGTGCTCTAGTTACCCTTTTGTTTCTTTAGAATGTACATTTTTCTCTTAGTATTTATTTTCCTTTTTGAGGTTCAGTCTTGGAATACATTTTTTTCCATCTTTATATGGAATGGAAGAAAAGGATGGTTTGCACTAATAACTACAGTTCTCCCGCACCCCATCCCCACACCCAGCATTTCCATTCCTTTGATTTGAGATATTCACTAACTGCAGAACATTGAATTGTTATTGTCTCCTTGAGTCTGGAAAAACTTTTATTTTCTTAGCAGGCTAACTATATAGGACAGGGAGAAAATAATTGACCTGTCCTAGATAAATTTTTTAGATAAATTTCAAATAAACATTTAAAATGAAGCTATGGGCTTCCCTCGTGGCACAGTGGTTAAGAATCCGCCTGCCAATGCAGGGGACACTGGTTCGAGCCCTGGTCCGGGAAGATCCCACATGCCGCAGAGCAGCTAAGCCCTTGCACCACAACTACTGAGCCTGTGCTCTAGAGCCTGCGAGCCACAACTGCTGAGGCGCGCACACCTAGAGCCCATGCTCTGCAACAAGAGAAGCCACCACGATGAGAAGCCTGCGCACTCCAATGAAGAGTAGCCCCTGTTCACCACAAATAGAGAAAGCCTGCACGCAGCAACAAAGACCCAGCACAGCCATAAATAAATAAATAAATAAATAAAATGAAGCTATATCACTATGCTATTATGAATAGTTTAGATAGACAATTTAGTTCATTACTGAAATGTGTTTTGGCTATCCTTTCCCATTTTACCTTTTCTCCTTCCCCAGTTATCTACATATCAGATTAGGTTGCTGATCTGAGAAATACATCACTGACCCAGAGCAGTATTGCCTATTAATTGACCATCTGATCTGCTTAGTGCACTTTAATTTTATTGGGATCTCCCTTGTCCAAGTTAGTGTGCATGTCTCTGACTTGTAGCTATTACTGATATTTCCAAAAATAGGTAGAACTTTTCTGGGTGTTAACGTGGTGTTTGTTACTAGAGCCACTTTTTTTTTTTTTAACCAGCTAGCTGTAAAGAAGTTTACCTTTACGCTCTTACCTGCTATTTTAGCCCCATATTTTAGCATCCATAACAGAATATGGATATCTGTTATCTCTGCCTTGGAGGAACCAAGGAGAGGAAATAATAAAAGCTAAAAGGACAAAATAATGGTTTCTGTGCCAGGAAGAGTCATGTGTAGTTTTAAATAAGGGGGATCGTCAACATTGATCTGGTTTATTTTGTCTCCAACTATGCATATTCTATTGTAAAACCATTTTACATGTATCAAGAGATTTTATTTTGGAAACACTGGGTACTTGTGGGTAAGTTGGAGATACTGCTTTACTCAAAAGTGTTACTATTTGGTGCCACACTTGTGATTTGCTTCTGAAATTAACTTAACTCTTAGCCTTTCTTCCTACCTCAGTAAACTTATCCCCCAAATCAGCTAAAATCATACACATTGCTAGCCCATGCAGGCAATAACAGTGATAGCTATTCTATACTAGTGCTTTTTATGGGCCAGGTGTGCTTTATATGTACTACCTCGTTTATAACACCCTTGTGAGGTAATGATAGCATCCTGTCATTTCAGATAGAAAAATGAGGCCCAAGTTAAGTTCTTTGCCTAGTTCAGTCCACTGATAAGTGATGGACCTGGGATTTGAACCGAGGCCTGTCAGGATTCAGTTCCTATGCTTTTAACAACTGAATGAATTGGGTGGATGAGTGATTTTTATTAATTAATCAGCTGTCTCACAATGAAGCAGAGGATGTGCAAGTTGAATTTTTTAATTCTTGTACATGAGCTGGGAAGTACATTTCTTAAAGATCAGAATGTTATCATCAGTTTCATAAGTAGGAAAGCTTATTAGGAGTCCAAATCTCTTGCCTCTTGTAAAGGTAATACAAGCAAGTAGTCTTGACTTGTGTTGAAGGTTTTGTTTTTCTCAAATGCAAATGATTACAGAGAAACAAGATATGCTTAGAACTGTTACAGGTGAAAGAAGACTGGCACATCATCCTGATCAAATTCTTGTTCTTTAAACTTGGGAGCTCTCACACTAGTTTTCCTTGTTCAAATACTAAAATAGTTTCAAGGTTTTTTTTTCCTATCTAGATATGTGTATTAGGATCAGTGTATCACTGATTTTGTCAATAAAATTGCAGTGATTCAGGTTTAGTCCCTTTGTTCCAATCAGGTTAACATTTTATATATATTCTGAATTTTGCCTTGTCTGGAGTCTTCTAAATGTTACCTTTGCTGTGCCTTCAAATTTGATTTTTTAATTCTTATTTTTGCATTGAGACTTCTCATACATAGCTCGTTGACTTTATTTTCTCTTATAGGATTCAGTTATACAAAAGATGTTTCAAAAACAGTACTGTTGGCCCAAAAGCAATTTTTACTTATCAAAAAGGAGTAAGGAAGATAATCTTCAATGCTTGTATATGGGCTTTTAAAAACCATGCTCTACAGTGCAACTACAAAAGCTCTAAATAATAGTAAACTGTTACACATACTGTGTGCTTGATGCTCTGTTAAGTGCATTAAAAGGCAATATTGCATAGTAGTTAAATGCTGGACTCTGAAGACAGCCTGCTTGAGATCAATCCTGGCTACACCGCTTACTAGCTGTGTGACAGAGGGCAGGTAGTTAATGTCTCTGTGCCTCAGTTTTCCTATCTAAATTGGGCTAATATACCCACCTCATGGACGTATATGAGTTGAGTGTGTTAATACAGTTCTACAATTATTTATCCTAATCCAGAGGGCTCTAAAAACTAGATTTGTGCGTGTGTCTGTGACTCAGTGGTTAAAAAAAACAAAAACCTGTCCTAAACTTGCAGTTTGAATAGTCATATATTTTCCTGCGGAAGTATTAATTTGTTTAATAACAGTGCTACCACAGATCCTGCTGAGGTTATTAAAAAATCAATATATCTGTACTGGATTCTAAAATTCAAAATCCT